TGAGCCTATCATTACATGACCAGTAAGTGATCTGGTAAATAGAATTCCTTTTCTGTGGTATTGGTGACACTAAAACCTCAGTTTATCTCAACAGAGCTTGGGAAGTTTGGGAGAGGGATGGAAAAAGAGTGTTTTGGTTTGGATTACCCCCCAAAATAAGCCAAAGACTTATGTCCACATAATTTATTTGAAACGTGATCCAAGGAAGCAACGGAAGTAGGAAGAATGAAACAGAGGAGGAGAAAACCATTACAAAGCTACCTTATAGTGTTGGTCACTGCTGCAGGTGAATGGAACTCAATGGCACTGGAGTCTTTTGAGAAGCTGTATATAATGTGCCTCAAAATTGCCTGCCCAAAGAAATGGGAGGAAAGCATTTATGCATTGACTTTGAATCTCTAGTCATCAAAGGCTGACTTAAAGGCCATTGCTGTTGTGCATGCAGGAGGACATAGAAGGTTCCCACAGGGGTTCTTGAAATAGCACAATATTGGAGAAGTCTTGGGGCAGAACAAAAAGATGTATGATGCAGCTGAATCGCTGTGTGGAGCTGGCTGTCAGCAGTGGCGAGAGTAAAAAGTGGGTCCAGGGGATATGAGACAGGACCAAGGGATGTCAATATAAGGGGAGGAAATGTGCTGAATTCTTAATCATACATAAGGGGAGCCAAAATATTTAGTTGGGTCTTAGCTAAGTACAAAAAATATAGATTAGATTTAAAAACATAAATGATAACCATTAGTAGAATCTAAAATAATATGTATGCCCCCAGATCACTGGAGAAAAATAATAAGAAGAAACAAAATAAGTTCATATTAACAAAAGTTAGAAGACCGGGAAACTGCAAAAGTCTTCCCTTCCCTCCCTTCCCCTCCCCTTCCCTCCCCTTTCCTTTCCCCCTCCCCTTCCTCCCTCTCCCTCTCGCCCTCTCCTGCTCTCTCCCTCCCCCTCCCCCTCCCCATACTTCTCTCTCTCTCTCTCTCATGTGTGCGCGCACGCGTGTGTGTGTTTAGATGGAGAAAGAGCGTGAGCATATGTATAAGTGTATACACATGTATATATAGTAAATTAAAAATTATGATGGTAGAAACAAAAACATATACATCAAAGGAGGGATGGATCTAGCCTGAAGTTTATACAGTTTGGGAGAGTTGGTCTTTAAGAAGAATAACACAAAATTACAAATACAAATTAGATATGAAGTGAATATTTATTTGGAAGGAGGAAAAAATGACAATCCATTATGGATGTCACAAACATCATGAAATTGAAAGTTAATATTAACTACCTGATAATCCCTCCATAATGCTTTCTCCTGCATTTTTGAGGCAATAAATCTGACAACTTTTTAAATTTTTAAACTTTTTGTGAAACACAACTTACCAAAACTGTTTTATGAGCCTAGCATAATTCTGATTTCACAATCTTAGAAGTATATTATAAGAAAATGAAATTACAGACTAATGTCCCTTACGAACTTAGGTACAAAAGTCCCAAAAGAAAAAACTCAAATCCAGCAATATATCAGAACGGTGAGTGAATACATCATAAGCAAGTAAGATTTATCTCAGGAATATAAGTTTGGCTTAATATTTGAAATATATGTAATTCATCATGTTATCAGAATAAAGGAGAAAGAATATAAGCATCTCAATAGATACAGGGAAAGTGATAAAACTCAAGATCCATTCATATTTTTTTAAAAGATCAGCAAACTAGGAATAAAAATGAATTTTTCAATCTGATAAAAGGTATCTTAAAAAATCTTCACCTAACATAATAATAGTAAAATATTTAAATCTTTACCCCTAAAATCTGGAAGATAATGATGTTAACATTCATCACTCTTATTCAACATTATAATGAAGGTCCTAGCCAATGCATTAACACAAGAGAAAAACAACAAAAGACAAGAATTCAAAAGGAAGAAATAAAGTTGTCTTTATTTGCAAATGGCATGATTTTTTTTATGTAGGAAATTCAAAGGTATAAAAAAGTATATAAAAATTAACTATTAGTACTAATAAGTGAGTTTAGCAAGAGTATATAAAATCAAGAGCTATAAAATCGATCTGTAGTTTTATTTCTTTGTAGTAATCCTAAGAGTTTGGAAAATAAAATTTAAAATAAATACCATTTTTAATAGCATAAACCCCATCATATACCTAGGAATGAATTTAATAAAAAAATTTTAAAACATTGCTGAGATAAAGAAGACATGAATAAGTGAAAAGACAAATGATGTTGATGGATTTGAAGATTCAATACTGAAAAGGTTTCAATTCTTCCCAAATTGATCAATTGATCAATTGGTTCAATAAAATCTTAATAAAAAATCCCAGCAAACATTCTGTAGAAATTGGCAAACAGGTTTTAAAATTTACAAAGACATGCAAAGGACTTAAAGTAGCTAAGATAATCTTGAAGAAGAACAAAGAGATTTTCTATAAAGCTATTATAATAATGTCAATAAAATAATAAGGAAAAAAAAGTAGACCAAAGAAACAGAAGAGAGTCTAAAAATAGACTCAGACAGTTGGCCACTTGATTTTTAACAAAGGTGTAAATGGAATTGGAAAAGGAAGATCTTTTTTAAAAAATTTTATTTGAGAGTGAGAGAGCTCACATGAGTGGGGGGAAGGGGCAGAGGGGGAGGGAGAGAATCTCAAGCAGACTCCCTGCTAAGCGTGTAGACCAAGGTGGGGCCAATCCCATGACCCTGAGATTATGATCTGAGCGAAAACCAAGAGTTGGATGCCTAACAGACTGAGCCACCCAAGTGCCCTGGAAAAGGAGGATCTTTTTGAATGACTTTGAAAATTAAGTGAAATAGAGAGTAGAAAAACCATAGAAAAAAATCAGTGAAACTAAGAGTTGGTTGTTTGAAAAGATAAAATTGACAAACCCTTAGCTTGACTAAAAAAAAAAAAAGACAATCAAATTAATGAAAGAGAAGATGTTGCAATTGATGTAACAGAAATAAAAAGGATCATGAGACTACTATGAACAATTAGATACCACCAGACTTGCTAATCTATAAGAAATGAGTGAATTACTAGAAACATACAACTTACCAAGAATGGATCATGAAGAAATAAAGTCTGATCAGACCTGTAACTAGCAAGGAGATTAAATCAGTAATCAAAAACCTCCCAATAAGCAAAAGCCCAGGACCACATGGTTTTACTGGTGAATTCTACCAAACATTTAAAGAATTGATGCCAATCCTCAAACTCTTCCAAATAATTGAAGAGGAGGGAACACTTCCAAATGAGACCAACATTACCTTGATACCAAAACCAGAGAAAGACCCACAACAAAGAAAACTATAGGTCAATATCGTTAAGGAAGATAGATGCAAAAATCCTCTACAAAATACTAGCAAACCAAAGTCAGTAGCATTAAAAGGGGTATACACCACGACCAAGTGGCATTTATTCCTGGGATGCAAGGATAGTCCAACATATGCAAATCAATAAACATAATAAATACACCACCTTAATAGAATGAAGGATAACAATCATATGATAATTTCAATGGATGCAGAAAAAAAATTTGACAGTCAAAAATTCAATACACTTTCATGATAAAAACTCTCAACGAGTTAGGTATACAAGGAATTTACCTCAACATAATAAAGGTAGTATATGAAAAGCCCACAACTCTCATACTCAGTGGTAAAAACCTGACAGCTTTTCCTCTAAGCTCAGGAACAAGACAAAGATGCTGGCTGGTTCACAAGCTCCTCAGGATCTGAAGGATCTGAAACTGGCCCCCACACGAGGAGGGCAAAAAAGACTGAAGAAGGAGGCAGGCCACTCCAGATTTGTAGGTGGCAGGTTTAATAAGAAAGGGGACTTATACATGAAGCTTGACTTGGATGGCAGCAAGAAGAGTATATCTCCATACCTGCCCACCAAATCTTAAAAGTTTATATAAAGGCTATCTATCATGGTCTATCATGAGGCTATGTTCTTGGGGCAGCCTCAGGGAGCAGGGAGGCCAAGCAGAATGCACATTCCATGGACAGGGGAGAGGGTGAGGAGCCTGTTATTGCCAGGTCCAGCTCAGGAATCAACTGGCTGTTATGTTACCTTGATGACCTCTCCTGACACTCTACCCTTTGTGACTGGCTTTTACAATCTCACAGGCCCCCTCTTCTGCAATGGGCCCTGAGCAGTTGGCCAAGGGTTTCCCTGGCATGGAGGTGGCTATCCAGCTGCATTAGTGGCAGATGCCACAGCAACAATACAGGCACATTTAAGAGAAAACCCAGAAAAAGACAATAATTTTCAAAATCAGTGACAATTTTTTTTTTTTTTTACAAATTTTTAACATACTTTATTGATTTAGGGGCCAAACAAGGCAGCATTTGGTCAGTTAAGAAAGGCACCTCATTGAAAATAATACATCACAGTGCTGACGAGTGATCCCAGTCACAGGATTTGAGGATGGAAAGGACAATCTTTGGATTATGTTGCTTAGGACACTTGCTCGTTTATTAACAAGGGTCCCTTCCCACATCGTGGATGCAAGATGGTAAGAGTGCAGGGATGCTGGGTGGCTGCTGGGAGCTGACCCATGAGAAAGGGTGGACCGGCAAACAGCAGTGTGTCGTTAGGAGGGAGGTCAGCCTCGCCTTCCCCACAACTCCAGTAAACGTGATTGGCTGAGCCACCGCCCCCATGAGACACCCCCCCCCCACCCCATCTCTTTCCGACGTGGAGATGATCTTTTGTCTCATGGTGCAGAGAACCAGGGCCAGGAGTCAAACCCCCGCCCTGTTCCAAGCTTTCAGAAAGACAGAACAACAGTTTGACTTCCTGCATTCTTAGGCTGGCAACCCATGAGGCTCTGAGATAAAAACTGAGGTCTCAGGGCATTTGGCTTTAAAATATATTGTCACCAATCCACAGTAAATGAAACCTGGATTCCTCAGAAACAATACTGCACCTCCCTATTTCTATTTACAGCCTTTAATGTGGTTTTTTTTTTTTTTAATTTCACCCCTCCTCTGTACTTTCTCAGACTCCTCTAGGACGTGTGAAAGAGATGGCCTCACAACCACATTGCTGCTCTTCGTTACTCCTTTTGGGCCCTCCTCATTCCTCCCTCTCCATCCTCACCCTGACCACCCCTCCCCTCTGCCCAGCACCTAAAGAGCAGGGATCACGCCGCGGGGTGATGAAGAGTGGTGCAGTCTCGCCTGGCCTTCTGTTACTAGGATGTGGCTTTGGAGAAGGCCGCTAGGATGCTGGCAAACACGACGTCAGGGGTCTGGGTGGCGTCGATGACAGAATGGATCCCTCGTTTCCTGTAGTACTCCACCAGCGGGGTGGTCTGAGTGTGGTAGGCCTCCAGGCGGATTTTCAAGGCCTTCTCATTATCATCTGATCGGCAGACCAAGGGTTCCCCAGTGATGTCATCTTTCATGTGTTCCTTTGGGGGGTTGAACTCCTCGTGGTAGGAACGGCCACTCAGAGGGTGAATCAGCCTTCCTGTGATTCTTCGGATCAGCAGAGAGTCCGGGATGCTGAATTCAATCACAGAGTCAAGCTTCTCTTTCCTCTTCTCCATGAGGTCATCGAGCATTTCTGCCTGCCTCACGGTCCTAGGGAAGCCATCTAGAAGAAAACCATTCTTGCATCGAGGGGTCTCCAAATTCTTCTCAATGAGCTCCACTACCATTTCATCGCTCACCAGCTTTCCAGCATCCATAGTGGCCTTCAGCTTTTTTCCCAGTTCTGAGCCAGACGCCACCATGGCCCTCAGCATGTCCCCAGTAGCCAAATGGCAGACACAGAAGTTTTTGGCCAATTTGGGTGCCTGGGTACCCTTGCCGGCCCCGGGCGGCCCCAGCAGCACGGCCTGGATGCCTTTAGGACACTCTGTGGCCGCTTCAGACGCGGGGACGTTGGGAGCCATGGCCGCCAAGACTCTCTCCGCTCAACCCGCCAGCACCAGTGACAATTTTTTTCACCAAGAACCCAATGATCTGACTTATTAAGTTCCTTAAGCTAGAGGGTCAGATCACTCAGGGCATTTACTTGTGTCCTCATGGGATTTAAATAAAGATGACACATTAGCAGGCTTATCAGGTATGAACATTCACAACATTCTGTTTGGGTAATGGCACAGGTGACTCATGATGCAGTAATAATGTCCAAGGCCATCCTATTTTGGAGGATAGCTTTTTTCATTAGAGACATTTCAGTGTTCAGTAAGGACAGGCTTTGTTGACTAACATTTAAGGATTGTTGGGTGAATTTAGGAAGAGCTTCTATATGTGCCATAACATCTTCCAGGAGCATGGAGGGAACAAAGATAGTGGCCAAGTAACCCTAACAGTAGGTAACAGAACATGCCCACCTGGCCATGAGAAAAGGGAGGTTGGTAGTTTTAGGAACTTGACATGGTTGCTCCTACCATACATGCTGGCTGGGGGAGACAGCACTGTCAGGTGTGAGGAGATGGACTGGGGGCAGGATATGCTAGACCAGGACCCTCACCTTCTCCTCTCTTTCAATGGTGCATGTTCCATTTTAGGTATAGTGTGTTTCAGCAGGTCCAGCTTGCAGCAGGACAGTAAGATCCCAAGGGAAATTGAGTAGTTTCTCTTTACCCGGGGGTGTAAAGTTACCCATTCCAGTGGGGTGTCCCATTGCAAATTCTAGTAGGTAATACCTCTCTCAGGTGTGATGGAGCTTGGTGTTCCCAGGACCCTAGCATGTTGATCCACGGTGAGAGTCAGGGCAATGGTTATTTCCCATGACTTTCATACCTTTACGGTATTGGGTGCCTTGGCAGAAGTCCCCAGTCTGCTATATGGGACAACAGGCCCTAATGGTTGATCATTCAGATATATTAAAGCCTGAGACAGTACTTTAGGTCATCTGCCCAAGGTAGCTTTACTTATTAGTAATTTAGTCCACTGCTTTAATATTCTGTTTTTCCTTTTTACCAACCCTCTTGTTTCTGGGGAGATGGAACCTCTATTTAATGTCATGGTTTTTTGCCCAATCGTATACTTGATGGCCTTTGAAATATGACCCCTGATCACTGTCTAGTTGATGAAGGTATCCATACATGGTACTCAGCTTCTCTAAGCCTCTAATGGTGGCACTTGGTTTGCATGGCGACTGGGAAAAGCTTGGGTTGGGCAGATGTGGTGTCCACACAAACCAAGACTTATTTAGAACACTTACTCAGAGGAAGGGAGGCGGTATAATCCATTTACAAATCCCTCACTGGCTCGGAACTCTGGTGGATGGCCCCAGACTCTTTTGGCAGTTGCCTTGGGCACTGTTTAGAATATACAGGACACGCTGCTATCACATTAATCAAGTCACTGTACTTCAAGGGCAATTCAGCATCCTTAGCAACATCCATCCCACCTGGGCACTGAGGTGGCCACTCTTTCTATGCATCCAATCTGCTGTATCTTCTGAAGGGTTGGTTGCTAGGGCTTCTACCCAGCCTAGGGCTTGTACCCGAGTTAGGGCATCAGCTTCCTGATTGTCAGTGCCTTATGAGCCGGAACATGGAAGACAGTGAGGACCACGTCAGGCTCTTACAGAGGTGGACCCAAATGTCCCCACAGACGTCCTGACCCCAGAAGGACCCACTCATGATCATCCATCCCTTGGCTTCCCTATGTCCAAGACAGGATTAATCTCAACTGTTGGTATAAAGGTTTAACGGCCAGGGCTCACCATCCAAACCATTCTGAGTTCAGTTCACTGTCTACTGTGGTTTCTTCTTTCCTAAGAAGCTCCACCTGGAGGAGTGCTATGTACAGTGTTAGGAACTGTTGCTCTGCAGGGGTATGTTGGATTTCTGTCCCCTTCCAGAGCTGGGACCAGAATCCTAGGGGCACTCTCCCTTTCTTTTGTCTCTGTCACAGTGTCTGACCCATATCTCCCAGAGTCACATCTGGGAAGACATCTAACTTCAGTGGCAACCCTCCTTGGGAGATGCCCAGAGCTTTAATCAGCTATACTAGTATTTTTGTCTTCTCAAGGGTGGCTTACTGCTCTGATCCCCACTCCTGCATGTGCCCTTTCTTTGCCAGGGACAGAGACACCATGCCAGATGGGGAATAAAAGGCTTCCAAACCCCCAAATCCTTACAAAGGCTTGCACCTCTTTCATCATTATAGGGGTTGGATAGGCTTGTACCTTATCAATCATAGCTTCTAGGACAATGCAAGTCTTAGTCAACCAAATGACTCCCCAAACCATATGGGCCTTGAATCATCTGGGGATTCACTGGCCATCCTTCTTCTCATAGATCCTCTAGCAAAGCCTGTAGGGTGTCCTACTGCAGAGGCAAATCGTCATATGTTAACATTATATTATCAATGTAATGGCTCGTTTTACTGATGTGGGGAAGGAGAATGGGGACAGGTCTCAAGCTACCATCCCGTGAGATATGGTGGGACCATGTGCTTTAGGGAAGAAGAACCTGAAAGGTTTATTATTTGTCCCTCCTATATGAATGCGAATTGATGTTAGTTATCAGAAAAAAAATTCTTTTCCACAAATCTCCTTGCAGATGGACTTTTACAGGAACACTTTCTTTTGGTCAGAGCATCAGAGTAAAACAGTAACTGTCTGTAAATGACAAAGACTTAAAAAATGGCCATGGTTAAAAATCTGATGAGAGTTCATTTTAATGTAATTGACAAAGAATTTTTGTTGTTGCTGTGATACACATTTTAAAATTATGACTAATAACATTATACCAGGATATACCAGACTTTTAGGAATTTCATAAAAATAAGAAAGAAACTTTGCATCACTTCTTATTTGACAGTACTTTCCATGAGATTTAATGTATAAAAAGTTACATAGTTATAAAAACTTAGCTCTTTTAATGGAGAAGACTCTGTTTTCTTAAGTATTCAAAGACCTGATAAAGGCAAAACATAGAATCTTTTTTTTTTTAGGCAAATTACATTAAGGGTAAAGAAAAACCTTTTTAAAATTTCTCATTAAGAGCAGACCAATAATCTAAGAAAACTTTGTCCTTTTAGTGGAGAGAAAACCAAATTATAATTTTGTACCGTGTACTTTTGGTATTAAAATTCTCTCTCTCTCTCTTTTTCTTTTTAACCCTGTGGGGAGTGTTTTGATTGTCTCCAGGGGTTTACGTTTCAAAGACATGATAGGATTTACAGTCTCAAGGGACAAAGAAAAAGAAGTTTTCTCTCTAACTCTTTCTAAGAGTTTTTTGGTAATTGCTATTTAAAATTTTCCCTTATATTAGGGGTCAGTTGGCTTGGACGTGAGTCCATTTCCTCATCAATCACCACATCTTCCTCTTCCTTCTCATCAATTTCCCAGAGATTCTATCTCTTAGCATCTGGATCAGGCTTTATCCAAAGCATCTTGTGCCCTCCTAGCTTTGCAAAAACACTTGTAAAATAGTCTCCAACTTATTACCCTGCTCTCCCATTTTGTCTGCCAGTCCCAAAGCTAGCAGACCAGGGGACACTTGCACCTCCTTCTCTAACCTTAGCTCTTCTAACTTTCTAACTTGAGCTTCAGCCTCTAGTTGGGCATGGTGACCAGCCCACTGTGGCAGCCATGTTTCCCTTCTTTGCTGCAGTATGCTATGTGCAGTTTCTCAAACAAGCTCATTAAAGGAGCCAGTGTTCTTTTGGTGTTCCTGTACTCATATGGCAGTCCACAAGATTCAAATGTACAGCCTATCCCACCCACAAAGAGGTCAACGGCCAACTTGGGATTTTCCCCAAGGATGCCTCTTTCCCAAGGCCTGTTTCTTTGGTTTCCTGGCTGGCTCAACAATTGGTTCACAAGCTCCCTGGGAGCTTCCCAGGTATGATCTGAAACTGGCCCATATATATGGAGGGCAGAGAGAGACTGAAGAAAGAGGCAGGTCACTTCAGATTGGTAGGTGGCAGGTTTAATAAGCAAGGGAACTTAGATATGAGGCTTATCTTCAGTGGCCACAAGAAGAGTAGATCTCTGCACCTGCCTGCCAAGTCTTATATGGATGCCTTAACTGGTTTTAGTTACATAAACCATCCAGATGGTCTCAACATCACATCACTATCACAAAGCCGTGTCCTTGGGGCAGCATCGAGGAATGGGAAAGGCAAGCAGAGTGCACATTCCAAGGACAGGGGCAGGGGTGAGGAGCCTCCAGTTACTGTCCAGCCCACAGATCAACCAGTGGTCACTGTTTCTCGATGACCACTCCTAACAATGCCCACTCACAGCACTCCTATACAGTGTAGTACTGGAAGTCCTAGCCAGAACAGTTAGGAAAGAAAAAGAAATGAAAGGTACTCAGGTTGGAAAGGAATAAGTAAAATTGTCTTTGTTGCAAATGACATGATTTTGTATATAGAAAACTCAAGAGACTTGACCAAAAAAGCTGCTAACACTAATAAATGATTTTAGTAAAGTTGCAGGATATAAAATCAATATACAAAAATCAGTGGTATTTCTATGCAGTAACACTGAACTGTCTGAAAGAGAAATGAAGAAAACAATCTCATTTATGAAAACAGAAAAAGGAATAATACTTCAGAATAAACTTAACCAAGGAGATGAAAGACTTATACATTGAAATTATGAAACATTGATGAAAGAAAATTAAAAAGATACACATAAACGAAAAGATGCCCTATGTTCATGGATTCAAAAATTAATATAATATGTGTACTACCCAAAGTGACCCACAGATTCAATATAATACCAATCAAAATTCCAATGCCTTTTTTCATGGAAATAGAAAAAAATCCTAAAATTCACATGGAGCCATAAAAGACCGGAAATAGCCAAAGCAATCTTGAGCAAGAATAAAACTGAAGGCATCACATAATGTATGTTTTCAAAATATATGGCAAAGTTACAGCAATCAAAATAATATGGCATTGGCATTATAACAGTCATATAGGCCAATTGAACAGAATAGAGAGCCCCCAA